TTTAAGGTTTAGGGTTTAGGGTCGAATTCAATTGGCGCGTATCATCAATCAGGGTTCGGCGGAGGGGGGGGGGGGGGTTGCGTGGCCTTGCTTCCGGCTGCTAACTGCGCTGCCCGCCCGTGTGCGTTAACCCTAAACCCCCTTTCCCCTGAGAGCCCAATACCCCTTAAATAAGGAATATAGCTTAAATCATAATATGAACCCCCTTATGATTTAAGCCATATTCCTTATTTAAGGGGTATTGGACTCTCTGGGTTCAAGTCTAAACTCTAAACCCTGATCGGGCAGAGCGCATGCGCCCTGTGGGTCCTCGCCTACGCGCAGCGACGCCGACCCCAACCAATTTCGTGTTTTTTTGGCGTAATTCCCAGGACTCCAATATCCCTTAATTAAGGAATATAAGGATCCTACTATGATTTAAGGAATATTCCTTAATTAAAGGATATTGGAATCTCTGGGTTTTGGGGTAGCCATGTGTAGCCATGGACGACCCCTAAACCCTAAACCCTAAACCCTAAACCCTAAACCCTAAAGGGTGCGCATCATGAGCATCAGCGGCCCCAGTCGGGGACCCGGATCGCGCATCAGGAGCATCAGCGGCCTTGGTTTCGGGGCTCCTTGGCGCAGCCCCTAGAATAATTGAAATAAAGCAATTATAAAATCATTCTAAATACTTAAATACTTAAAACCATCAAAACAGCTAAAATAATTGAAATAAATAGATTCCTTAAAACAATTCAAAACACTAAAATAGTTGAAATGATTAAAAAACTCAAGACAAGTAAAACAACAAAGTTCCCCTGCATTTATATTGTAATTACTTGAAATATCTTAATTTGATAATTTAAATATTACTACCCATATTAACGAAACCCAGGCATTATATAGACCCATAAAGGGTCCGCTCTTATATATATATATATATGTAAACACAACTACACATACATGCATACATGACATATATACATACTTATATACATACATACATACATACATACATACATACATACATACATACATACTTACACACATACTTACATACATACTTACTTTCTTGCCTACATACTTACTTACATACCTACATACCTACATACCTACATACCTACATACCTGCATACCTACATAGATACGTATATACATACATACATACATACATACATACATACATACATACATACATACATACACATATATATATATATATACATATACATATACGTATACATATACAGATACATATACATATACATGTTAATATGCACGCACACACACACACACTTTCTGTACGTACACAACTATGGGTCCTGTGCTGAAACTTGCATCTCTGTCTGTGCTTCTATGAGATGTGCAGCATGCCGTGCGCATCGAACTGGCTGGAATTCCAGACGTTACCAAATCCTGCCTTCCGAACCAGAGAAGTCTCCGAGATGCCTGGAAATTCATTCCAAAGGGTCGTAAACATGGCCAAGAAGCTCTCCAGCACCTCAAGTTACAACGGTGTTCAGCCTTCAGGCAAAACCATGCACATCGAAGCTGACCAACATCTCAAGATGTAAGATAGCGAGCAACACGTACAGTGTCTGTGTTGCTGTTGGACAGGTGTTCCCAAACACAAACACGGGATCAAGGGAGGCACAAAAGTCAAACAGGTGCTGCGTCGGGCCCACAGACTTGCAGCATTAACCGGACTGCACCTCTTCGGATCGGTTGCTGTGCTGATAGTGCTGGACAGGCTCGACAAGCCTACCGAAAACACAAGGTGGGTAGCTTGACTGGTAATGCCAAACAGCAGCTACTAGCCACTGCAACCTTGCAAGCCGCCAAAACTGGAACACCCTAGTCTCGGTGAATGCCGGCAAAAACAGGGGTTCGGTACGTGAAGGGATTGCTTCGTAAGTCAGCACGGCCACCACGAGAACTACTGCGACTAAGACAAGGACGACGCCACCACGAGAACTACTGCGACTAAGACAAGGACGACTGCTCTTCTGCACTACAAGGAACAGCTATGTTTTCTGTGTTGGTTCTAGCAAGTCGTGGTTGTTTAACAGTGACAGCGGCCAAAGTTTGCGTCGTAATTCGAATTCAGGGCGACCTACAGTGCTGCGAGACTTGCGAGATGAATTCGCGCTGCCACAACCTCCGGCCCAAAACGCTGGGGGCCCAACCAGGTTAGGGTTTAGGGCTTAATGTAGGGGCCTTAGTAATTAGAATAGGGTTTTTGGGGTATACTACACCCTGTTTATACTAAGGAACCCCCTGTTTTGTTGGCTCTGGCTGTTTGGCGATGCAGACGGTGGTAAAGCAGCCCCGTGCTTTTCAAGATCTCAAATTGAAGTCCAGGCGCGCGGAACCACACATAGCCCTTTTGCAGGGGAATTTCCGGATCTATGGCAAGGTGCTCCTTGGCTCAAAGTCTACATGCAAGTGGGTAAGTAGGAACCCAGAGACTCCAATATTCCTTAATTAAGGAATATTCCTTAAATTATAGTAGGATCCTTAATATGATTTAAGGTATATTCCTTAATTAAGGGATATTGGAGTCTCTGGGAAGCCGCAAAGCCGAATAACCGAAACTCGGGTGCGCAACGCAACCAGGTGGCATCCCTCTTCGGCCCCAGCCAGTCCAGATCGTAAAGTTGGCACCAGTACTTGCATCCGCTTCTTGCACAGACCTGGGATGAGGTGAGCAGCATCTTTGATCTCGCGTTAACTTCTGAGTCCCTAAACCCTAAACCCTAAACCCTTAACCCTAAACCCTGAACCCTAAACCCTAAACCCTAAACCCTTAACCCTAAACCCTAAACCCTAAACCCTAAACGCCCTAAACCCTAAACCGGTCAACGACGGCCCAGCCTCCTCCAGGTGGCCTCCAGATGCAGTCTTCCCGCCTTCCAGGAGCTGCCAGAGGACCTGCAAGGGTTTAGGGTTTAGGGTTTAGGGTTTAGGGTTTAGGGTTTCGGGTTTCGGGTTTGGGGTTTAGGGTTTCGGGTTTAGGGTTTAGGGGTTTAGGGGTTTAGGGGTTTTCGTGTTTAGGGTTTAGGGTTTAGGGGTTCGTGGTCGCAGCTGCGAAGAGACGCATCGGACGGCGCGAAGGCATGGCCTCTTCACTGAATTCTCCACTGCCCAACTGCAGCTCAAGCCGCCCACCATGTCCCAAACCTGACGGCGCATCGAGGCCATGTGATGTTGTGAGTGTCAGAACCTGGACGGTGGAGACCCCGCGCCTTCAAACGTTCCGACGCGCCGAATCCGGAAGGGCCAGCCTGAGGAGCAGAGTTTGCATAGCTCGGGCAAGTGGGCAGGGTTTAGGGTTTAGGGTTTAGGGTTTAGGGTTTAGGGTTTAGGGTTTCGGGTTTAGGGTTTAGGGGGTTCAAGAAACCCTGGGCATCGACTGCCGGAGCCTCCGATGCTGAGCAGAGCGAACTGGTGGCCTTCAACAGCTCCTCGGCTCAGACAAAGGGCTTCATTATAGCCATAATAGGCCCTTTTTTGTAGCCATAATAAGCCCTCATTATAGCCATATAATAAGCCCTTATTATAGCCATAATAAGCCCTCATTATAGCCATAATAAGCCCTTTTTTGTAGCCATAATAAGCCCTCATTATAGCCATAATAAGCCCTTTTTGTAGCCATAATAAGCCCTTTTTTGTAGCCATAATAAGCCCTTATTATAGCCATAATAAGCCCTCATTATAGCCATAATAAGCCCTTTTTTGTAGCCATAATAAGCCCTTATTATAGCCATAATAAGCCCTCATTATAGCCATAATAAGCCCTTTTTGTAGCCATAATAAGCCCTTCTTGTAGCCAGAATAAGCATTTACTATAGCCATATAGAGAAAGTCTTGTCTACACAGCTGGCACGTGTCGCGACGGCGCGACGAGAAAGCCCCCCGAGTTGGGCAGAATCCGCTGTGCTATTCTGAAGTAGAACGCTCGCGCAGGCATTGTATATACGCTCGAAGTGGTGCTGCTGTCCCGAAATCTTGTTGTGGCTGCTGATGCTGTTGCCGTTTCTTTCGTTGTCACTCTAGTTTTGGCTCTGGCTCTGACTCTTGCTCTTGCTTTTGCTCTTGTACTTGCTATTGCTGTTATTGTCTTGTTGTTGTTCTTGCTCTTGTTCGTCTTCTTGTTATTGTTATTGTCCTGTTTCTTGTTCTTGGTCTTGGTCTTGGTCTTGTTGCTGCTGCTGCTGCTGTTGCTGTTGCAGTTGCAGTTGCTGGTGCTGGTGCTGTAATACTGATGCTGCTGGTGTTGGTGCATGTGTTGGTGTTGGTGCTGCTGCTGGTGCTGGTGCTGATAATGCTGGTGGTGGTGGTGGTGGTGGTGGTGGTGGTGGTGGTGGTGGTGGTGGTGGCGGCGGCGGTGGTGGTGGTGGCGGTGGCGGTGGTGGTGCAGGTGTTGGTGCTGGTGCTGGTGATTGTTGGTGATTGTTGGTGATTCTTGGTGACTGTTGGTGATTGTTGGTGGCGATTGTTGGTGACTGTTGGCGATTGCGCTGACGATTGTTGGTGATTGTTGGTGATTGTGGTGACGATTGTTGATGACTTTTGGTGACGATTGTTTGTGATGGTGATTGTTGTTGCTTTTTGGTTGTTGTGGTTGCTGTGCTTGTGGCTGGTTGTTGTGGTTGTTCTGGTTGTGGTTGTGGCTGTGGTTGTGGTTGTGGTGGTTATGGTTGTGGTTGCGGTTGCGGTTGTGGTTGTGGTTGCTGCGGCTACATCGCCGTCGGTGGCCCAGCTTAGCCTTTTCTAAACAGACCCCTCAGAAACAGCTCCAACAATTGATCGCGCTTTCCTCACTGACCTTTCCAGAACCTCAATCTTGTGTCGGAACTAAAGTTATGAAATTGGACGCGCCGTCAGGCGGTCGACATTGAAGCTGTCCCCTTCGCATTTGCATGCTTTGTACATCCAAGCAGCGCAGCCGAGTTCTTGGGGGCTCTGCGGTGACCGTGACAACTGCAGGGAGGTCACTGACGGGCAGCACCTAGGCACAGCAAAACTTGCAGAACACCGCATTCATGGCTGATGCCACCGACTTCGAGGAGAAACACAACACGCAAGCACGGGGCTCTCACAGAGTCTGAGAAGTCCTCGGCATTGAGGCCAAGAGCCATTGCGCCGTTCTCAAAGCCCCTTCGCGACTGGACATCGTACGGGGTGTGGTGCCCTCGCTTTGGGATGAAGTCCTGGAGATTTCAGGCAGGAACACTTCAAGGAATCAAGGGACGAAAACCTAGCATGCCTCCCCACCGTGCACCACAAGCACAGGGGCGGCCTGCAATGGGAAGTGCCAACCATTGTCGTATACTCCATCGTACTGCATGACCTCCACCATGAGTGTCATGGGCTCCTCACGCACTCGGCTCTGCAGCAGTGTTCTTGCACTGCTGTATCAACCCAGAGAACCCAATGCCCCTTAATTAAGGAATATACCTTAAATTGTAGGGGCCTTAATATTATGATTTAAAATATATTATTCCTTAATTAAGGGGTATTGGGCTCTCTGGGAAGATTCCATGCAGAGTTCCTGTGGCATGCGCCCATGCTGACACAGATGCTCTCTCGCAGCACCAAAGGTGACGTACCTCAGAGGATCCAGAGACTCCAATATCCCTTAACTAAGGAATATACCTTAAATCATATTAGGGATCCTACTATAATTTAAGGAATATTCCTTAATTCAGGGATATTGGAGTCTCACAGGGATCTGGCTCAGCCGGCGACAGGCAGACGGCCCTTAATTAAGGAACATAGCTTAAATCATAATCTTAAGGCCCCTATAATTTAAGGTATATTCCTTAATTAAGGAATATACCTTAATTTATAGGACCCTAAACCCTAAACCCTAAACCCTAAGGTATCTTCCTTAATTAAGGGGTATTGGGCTCTCTATGTCGTTGGCTTTTGAAGCTGGGCGGCTGGTCAGCTAACGGACCGTCGGGGTTGGCAGCACGCAGGCTCTCTTGAAAATCCTTGGCAGCAAATGCTTAGGGTTTAGGGTTTAGGGTTTAGGGTTTAGGGTTTAGGGCTTGCAGCCGCTTGCCGATTCAACAACCCCGCAACTGTTGCTTCTGATGAAGCCGTGAGTCCAGGTCACTGTCGTCGCTCAAGAAGCCCAGAGGAGGGAAGTTCGGCCAGTAAAGCGAGTTGTACCACAACGGCCCTCCGAAGCGGCCTAAACGGGACTCAGTCTCTGACAACACGATAGTGTCTGCCGCTCTGCCTGTAGGAGGGGCCAGTGCCAGGTGCTGCTTCCCGCGCAAAGCCTCCAGGAGGAGTTAAGCTCACAGCGGTCCCTTAAACCCCATCCCAGGCTTCTTGAAGAGCGAAATCGATGTGCCAGAACTGTGAGAGTCAGATTGAAATCTAATGCTGCTGGCTCGAGAGAGTGCACAAGGACCGAGCGGTTTCAGCGACACAGGAACTCCGGAAAAAAAAATCTCCGCGTGAGGAGCAGTGGGTCGAGGGTTTAGGGTTTCTTTCTGATGGAGCAGTGATGAGCAAACGAGCACGTTGAATGAAAGGAAACACCTTCGATAGCGCAGAGCCATCGTATACAGGCTTGAAACCTGTCTGTCGCCTCCTATCATCACAACAACGACCGTTTTCCTTGGGCGCGGCATACGCTAGCACACTGAGCCATGAGCAAGGAAGCATTGTTTCCAAACGTCGTGGCAGAAAGAGACCCACAGTATGTCCAGGACCTCTCTGATGCCCACCCCGTGCCATCCCAGCGAGGTAACAAAATCAAATGCGATGAACACAGCAGGACGGCCCATCGTATTTCCAGAGACTCTTCCAGCTGTTGTCCATGCCACCCTGACATTTTGGCCACTGCACATCACGGCGTGAGATGCAAAGAGCAGGCTCTTGAGTGCTTGATGCCAAACTGTTTTCCCCCCGACACGAGATGTGCAAAACAAGAAGTCGCAAGCACATGCCAGAACTTGTTATGTTATACATGCCAGAAAGCCTTCGGCCAGCTCCTATGCGCAGCTGAACGAGGCACTCTTTTCCGTATGGGCGCGGCACGTGGGTACGTGTAGTCAGATACATTGCTTCCAAACGTCGTGGGCCGGAGAGGCCCATAGTGTGTCCAGGACCTCTCTGATGGTCAGCAACGCGTTGACCGGGAGGGGGAACTTCCCGGACAGGCGTCGCAAATCTGAATTATGCAGACTTCAG